AGGAAGGATACTTCCCCATACATCTCCTACAATGAAAAACAACAATCTAAGACTTTGCGAGCGAAGGTCTAGGGGGGACAGGCAGGTCTGAAAGGTAGTTCTGCGGCTGTATAGGCAAGCAAAACTCCGATCACCGGCCGTCCAGGACGACCACCTTTCTTCCCCAACATGGAATGGGAGTGGTCGCCCCCAGCCTCGGCAAAAACCCACCGCCCTTCTCCTACCAAGGAAGGACGGGGGACGGCTCACTTCTCTGTGAACCCCAACCAGCATCACCTAGGCGAGGACGGAGATCCTGAAGCCGCCCGAGCTACTTCAGGTCGCCTAGGGGTCTTCTGGGGAAGTGAACGGCAAGCGGGGCGAGGTAGGGGAGAACCCAGTTCTTCCCCTAACACAACCTCCTCCGAAGGCCTCACCGGTGAACTGGTGCGACTTTCGCTAGTCCATCTCTCAAAACTTGCGTAATATGCGCACTCATGCTCCAGGAGGGGTAAGTGCTCATCTTGAAAGCTCTCCCAGGCCATACATTGCAAGGAATGGAGGGGGCATAGAGCATCCCAGTCAATCCACCCGTCAGGTAGGCGGTTAGCGGAGAGGGCCTCGTACGCCTCATTAAAGTCTTCATAAGGGTTTGGAGGTGGTGGCGGCGGTTTCACCGACGGCCACTGCCGGCGAGGCAACCGGCGACAGAATTCGTAAGGGTCAAGCCCCCCCCCCCCAGTCATTGGAATTGACTGACTTGGGGGAAGAGGCAGGCTCCGGCGAAGAAGGAGCCGGCCCGTCGGAAAGATCTAGAGAAACAGGAATTCCTTCAGACATGGCAAGAATGGAAAAAAGGGGGATATTTGGTGATGGAGCAGAGTAGAGGCCAGGGGGACTTATAAATAAGCCAGGGCGAAGGAACCGAAGAGGCGGTCAAGTCTCGAGGCAGCCGAACCGATAAAGCAGCCTTGAGCCGCGCGAAGGTCCAATCAGAAACGGTGAAGGGCATTGGATCAATTGGGCGGCACGATGGCCAATCCAGGGATTGAGCCCGGGCAGGTAAACGGGCCGGGACTAGGAGTTGGGCCCAAACTAAAACATACGTGTTAACCAGCTAAATCAAAAAAGAGAGTGCTGAAGTAAAGCGCCAAAGAGAGAAAACACATGGCGAATCTAGAAAATTAAATAACATAGGAGCGTTGTATCAAAACGACAAATCATTCCGAAGGAAAAGAGAGAGGCAAGTGTTGGTAAAGCTATGGGGGAACAATGGGGGATTTAGACGGCCGAGCCGGAGGGTCCACCCGCTTTGGACATGGCTAGGCTGGCCCCTGGATTCTGGTCGCTCTGACCACCTTCCACTTCTTCTTCTTCCTCCTCTTCCGACGCACTCGAGCTCCCCCCGTCCAGATAGGGACTGGGGTCGAACTCAGCCAAAGAGCGGCAGGGAGGAGGGAAGCCGAGGTCGGGGAGAGAGAATCCTTTAGGGAGCTGGGCCAGCCTGTTGTGGAAGACCTGTTGGGCAAGGAAGAGTCCGCAATTGAAGGACTTGGTTCCCTCCTTGACCATCCATTGGGCCCCAGGTTCAGTTTTGAGCCAAGCGGCCGTTAGTTCTTTCATCCGCTCCATTGCGACTACCGTGAAGTCAGGAGAGGACTTGAAGGATTCTACCGCTCCCTCTGCATGGCGGACCCGATCGCTCCTCTCCACCTCCAGCTGCTGGATCAGATCAGATTTCTCCCCTTCCAGCTCGACCACTCGAGCAGAAACAGATTCTACCTCCAAGGACAAGAAGGCCTTGTCTGCCTCAAGGGCGACGCAGCGGTTCTCCTGGGAAGCTTTCTCCACAGTAAGCGCCGCGCAGCGATTTTCTTTCTCCTCCAACTCCTTGGTGAGTCGGGCGACCTCTTCCTGCAGCTCCTTCTGCTTAACCTCGGCTGCTTTCATCACCTCGTCCGCGGTGGCCTGGCGACCCCGTCTCCGGCCGACCACCTCAATCATCCCCAGCGTAGCCTGCGCAAAGGGGTGAGGGTTAGGGGCCTAAAAAGAAAAGGAGTGATGCATAAGAGATCAAGACCAGTACCTGACTGAGCCTCAGAAGGACCATGTTGTCAAGGTCGTCCTCGGAGCCTGCCGAGATACGAGCCTGGTCTTCTGCAGGCAGAGTGATAAGAGTCTCCAGCTGTACATCCCCTAGGCTTTGGGGCAGGGGAGGGATGCAGAGCCTCGTCGAGCGACCCTCGGTCGCCACCTCGTAGGTCATTGCGGGTGGTGATGGAGGTCGCCCCAAGGCAATGCCCTGAGACGACCCAGCAAGGTCGCCACCCTGCATCATGGGGTGTGGAGGGGACTGGCTAGCCATGGTACCCGGTTCCTGGGTAGCATCTTCTTGGTCCTCCACCGCAATTATGACCGGCCCTCGAGAAGGACCCTCCTCGTGGTGGGATGAAGAACGTTTGCCCTGGCCTTTCGTCTCTCTCTTCCTTTTCCTCCCTGCGGTGAAGCGACTGAGCAGGAGATCGCTGTCCATCTCTTCTCCTGAATCTTGTAATTCCACTGGAAACAAAGGAAATGGTCAGCCTTGGGAAAAGATAAACTAAACATCTGGGCAAAAGAAAGGGTCGCCTACCAAAAGGACCACAAGCTGGTCAGGCTGATGCCCCCCGGGGATGTCCCTCAGTAGGTCGGGTTGTTGGCGAAGCTCATCCTGAACAAACTCAAACCCCAACCCGGCAAGGGTTTCCTCTTTCACCACCTCTTTGATGTTCATAACTCCCTTATTGCAGAATTGGCGAGTGATAGACAAAAGGGTGGCATCAGGTGGGGGGGCGTGGGATGTGACGGAAGGAAGGGCGCCCTGAACCCGTGAAAGGAGATTCGGGCCCCGTCGAAACGAAGACAAAGAAAGGCTTCCAATCTTTGGTTGACCCCTTCTTATCACTAGCAAAGAGTTTACTGGACCTCTGGGAAAGACTGGCATAGGATGCCCAATCCTTATGGCCCTTGGTCAGTTTGAAGGTGAATATGAAATGGTCCAAGGTCGGATTCACCCCTATATCTTTGCACCGGACCAGGTAACCGGCGATGTACCGGTGAGAGTTGGGGACCAGTTGGCACGGGAGAAGGTCCACCACGTTAAGGAATTCGATCAACAACGGGTGGAGTGGGAAGCGCAGCCCCTTCTTCAAAGACGCCAGATGGACTGTGAAGAACCCCGACGGTGCGTCTAGAGCAGTTTGAGTACTGGTGGGTCTCATGACCTCGATGGAGGGTCCAACCATGTCAGTGGCATCGGCGAACCCCCGGTCAGTAATTTGGCAATGGCACAACGCCATGATGTTTTCGTCCAATTCAACCCTTGAGCCCTCATCTACCGGAGTTGAGGAAGGGTATTGCTTCCTCAATCGACGCCGTTTGTGGCCAGGCACGGCCGACGGCGACGGCCGGGGTGATGGAGTGTGGCCGGGTTACGGTCAGAGGCCAATTGGCCGGCTTGGCGAGAATTGGGCGATGGGGTAGCGAATCGGAATCCGAGACAATCATGGCGGCGATAGAAGGAACTGACCTGGACAGGAAGAAGAACGAGTCGGGTGAACAGCGGAGTTGCAGACGAACGGTAGTGAAGAAGGCGAAAGGAAGAGATGGCGTCCAGCGGCGGTTTTTAACTGACAACAGGAAGGCGAATCGGCAGGCCATGATTACTTATTTGTGGAGATTGTGCCCAAGTGTCGTGCGGAACCCAAGGAACGGCCCGGATCCCCGCTGGAGCGTCCACGTGGACTTTGCAAACTCCCCACTCCTCTGCTTGGCCCAGCTGAGGACTGAGGAGTTGGGGGGCTTATGATGGGCCGATATCCAGAAGACGGCCCAAATGAACCATTTAAACAGCTTCGGGTCAAGCACCTGTGGAATACTCAAGCTGGGCCGGCCCGAGGAGCTGGGCCTAGTTAACCTCAGGCCAAGCGCAGCTGGCAGAGTCAGTCCGGAGAAGGAGACGGAGCTGATTGGCCGTTACGGAGCCGGAAAAAGGGGATCGCGCCCTTGGACGGGCTAAACTCCATTGGTTACGCTTCACCTTAATTGTTGAGAACTCGTGTATAAATAGAAGGGACCCGAAAGGGGAGAACTCAGGCTAAATCAAGCCAGTAATACACATCCAATTCTTGTTCTTAATTTTGTTCTTGCGATCCGCTCTGTAAATCGGATCATTTGGTGGATTTATTGTCCATCAGTTTTTATTCGCGAAATAGGACTTAAATGCATTTACATTACCAAATGTGGTCATGCACATTACCAAAAAGTATAGTAATGTGCACATGTACAGTGCCACATTACCTCCACGTTACCATAGTGCGAATTCCTGTTTCAAGAATAAAGACATGAAAGTCCTATTTTAGTATTTTCTATGTTTTAGTCTTATTTAGGATGATTTCTAAAATGGCAAAGCACATATTTAGCCTAAAGACTCGGGAAGTTACTAGTCATATACGGAAGGGGAATTATATGAGCCATAACTAAGGAAATTGGAAACTAATAATTAAATATATTCAAGATGTTTATTTATTCTTGATATGCCCCAGCAAGATGGAGGAACCATCGGAGACTCCAATTTTGACTCGAAATTTAGTGAATAGCATACAACCAATAGTTTTCCAAAACTGGAACTATTTATGGAATATCTAAAAATTGAGGACTAAAAGTGGAAAATTGTTCGTAATTGGGGACTATTTATGGAATAATTTAATTTTAGACTAATTTATAAATAAAATTATAAATTAGTGATTAGGGACTATCTAAAAAATTTCATTTTCATTCTTAGACTAATTTCTATATAAAATTGTTTTAAAAGTCACGAGATTTTATAAATTGTTCAAATAGGAGAAATCTCTTTTAGGGGGTGGGGAGTATAAAAATGCAATAAAAAATTAATAATAAGATCAATCAGAAATTCTGAAAGCAATACAGAGCACAAAAGCATCTCTTATACAACGATTTCACCCACGACCACACCAGAATAAATACTCCCTACTCCGTACGTTAACAAATCACTTTTCCGGTCACCGTCGGCGGTTTAACTTTAACCGTGGCTGAACCGTCCCGACTGAACACCGAAACCGGGTTTAAAAACCCATTTACATCTTGCGTGCAGGCGCGTGCATTAAACATTGCAACCGCCCGGCTGACCAAAACCAGATGTAATAATTCATAAATTAAAAAAAAATAGTACAAAATATATTTTTCCTCTTCAAATGTTTGTCACTTTAGCATTTATCTTCCGTGCCCTGCCGCCTGAGAGCGTTGTAGAATTTGTAAATGAATGCCTCCGCGGCGGCGTCCACCTGGCCGCCGCACTCCTCCGCCTCCCTAATCGGATACGGGGAGTCGGAGACCCTGAGCTGCCGGACCACCGGCGTCCTGCCGAATCCGGGCAGAGCCGGGGATGGCGCTTCGGCGGCGTGAAGAGCCTCAAGCGCCTTCACCACCGCGTTGGCCGCCTGAACCTCGTCGAAGGCGGCGGCGCCGTTGCGGCGCTTGCCCTTCTTGCCGGGGCACGCGGGGCTGTTGCTGCAGCTGAACTCGTAGTACTCCTTGGGAAGCTTGCTTCCGCCGGCGGCGGAAGTGGAGTGGAAGAGCACGAGGTTGTGAAAGGCGGATTTTCCGGCAAGTTTTCCGCGTTTGAGGAGGAGGTTGAGATCCAGCATCAGCTTCGTCTTGGAGACGATCATGCCCTCTTTCAACATTGACAAAGCGGTCCTCACAAATCTCCAGAATTTCTTAGATACCACTGGGAAATTGCTCGGCTCCATCCCTTTACTTCCTGTTCTTTCTCTTTCGACCCCTCGAAGTTTTTTTTAGTAATTCAAGTAATTTGAATATGGAAGTGATGGAGAGAAAAATGAATGGGGGAGTTTGTAAGGGGTGCGTGATATATATACCCCCACACGTACGTATAGATGTACGTTGCAATAATATACGAGTAATCATTATTTTCATTTTAATTTTTTAAAATAAATGCAAACATACTTTAATTTTATTTGTTTTTTATGTAATATTATCTCCGTCCATTGTCTTTGTCCAGTTTTGACTTTTGGAACTGTTCATTTAAGCACTTTAACTCATCAAATTCTCTCAATGTGTAAGCCTAAAAATAGTCATGTGTGATCGTGTTTGATTCGTCTTAACATATAGATTATTAATATATAATGTTTATAATTTTTTAATATACAAATTACAAGATAAAAATGAATTAGAGAAGTGAATTGGATGGTGTGCCAAAAGGTAAGTGGACAAAGATAGTAGGACGGAGGGAGGGAGTACATACTTTAATTTGTTTATTGATTATTGTATGTATAGTACGCATGAGTTTAATTTGTAAAGCATCATTGGGACAAAATCACTGGGAATCTGGGATTAAAAAAAGAAGGAATGCACTTATGCACATGCACTATATATGCATACTTTACTCTTTCATTACAAGTTAGTACTCCGTATATTAATACTTAGGCAACTCAGCTCGTATTGATTATACCTTGGGCATGCACTACACATTTGGCATATTTTTCTCTAGTTTTAATTTTTATTCAATAAATCAGGATCAATATTTGATTTATAATTTAAAAAAATTAAAAGATATATTAGTAAGATAAAATAGTACAACATCTGTTCCTGAGTATTGTGTCCACTTTTTATTTATGCCTGTCGAAATTAGTAAAATTTGATCAAAAATTAGATATTGATACAAAAATAAATTAATTAGATTTATTTTTTAAATTAATTTTAAAAAACTATTTTATCTAATTAATACACAATATACAGATTAAATTTTATTTAAGTGAAATTTGCACTTAATAAGACTAAAACATAAGTCATTTCTGAATGTAGGACTTAAACTTTTTATTCCCTAAATAAGACTTAATAATGTCTAGTAAAAAAAATAATGTCCAAATGATGTTGGACATTTAGTTGAATAATGACTAATATATAATGACCAATGGTCCTACATTGGGAAATAAAAACATATGATCCTATATTGAGAAAGTCGTTATGTTTTAGTCCTATTTAGGTAAATTATCCTTTATTTAATTATAGATCAAGTATTGAAAATAAATCATTGTAAAAAGTCAGAACTCGACAGATACTCATGGACGGTGGTAGTATCATATAAATAATGTACAAGATAGATTTAATAAAATCATTCTTTTATATATATTTAATATAAATTTTAATTAATTAATAGCCAAAGGTTATTAACAATATTAAGATTGGCTGGAAAAGTTAAAAATAGATAAAAATTGTAAGACGGAGGAAGTATATAATTCTCAAAGTATTGGGATGGTTTTATCTCTTTGTAAATGCTTAAAAGCTTGTTCTTTTGAATTCAAAAAATTGAGTTAGGCATTAGAAGAAATTAAAATAGCAAATTTGGAAGAAAACTGAAAGAAAATAGAAAAAAACTAGAAAAATTAGAATAAATTAAAAGGCGTGAGACCTACCCCATTCGTTTTATAGGACCCAAACCTGTGCAGATCTTTATAAGTCGAGTCCCATATATTTAGATTACATTTGCTCGTAAAGCTGTAAATAGATAATCGAAAATTCAATTATCGTCCGCATCTGTATATGTTTATACGTAGAATATTTACATCCGTTTAAAACGGTTAGTATTCGCATTCGATTAAGACATTCAATTGGTAAATGGATGCGGATTTGGTAATCATACATGTCATCCGCTTATAATCAACTCCGCATATACATTCGTTTGAATAACCATTTATATGTGTATTTAACCCGTCGTACATAGTTGTTTTCCAAATTTTTATCTTTATATTTTATTGTTCGTTTAACATCTCAAAAAATAAGACACTTTTATATCTAAAATGTATGTGCATACACCTTTATTTAAAGTTATAAATAAAGTAATCAAAGTCTATCACAGTTTAACCGGAAAAAGATTTAACATTCGTAATCTTTTTGTGACGAGAGAGTAAATATTTGGAAAAAGACAAAACTAGGAGTAAACATAAAAAAAATATACCAAACCAAAATAGTAGTTCTAAGTTTTTATTTTCGAAATAAGAGTTAAAATGAATTTATATTTACCCATCATGACCATGTACATTATCAAAAATTATAGTAAAATGCACACGTAGAGTGTCACATTACCACAGTGCGAACTCTTATTTAGAGAATAAAAGCATAAAAGTTTTATTTTAATACTTTTTATATATTTTACTCTCCTATTATCTGTATAAATATTTTGGACATGGGGAGCTAGTATCTAAATCCACCGTACTACTATTGCTTAGCAAGCAAGGGAGGTGGGATGACTGATGATGGGATCGAGAGAGTAAGTCAAAGTCAAGCAATAGAGTGGAGCACTATGCTATAGTATACGTACTAATAATAAGGTTCCAAGAATCCGCTGGCTGCATGATATACTAAAGCAACCACTCGGCGCGCCTCGTTTTCTAAAGTCACATGTACTGTATATTATTGTAGTCTAGTGCAGTGTAGTGGTGTT